GCTTCAAGGGTTTTTGACCTGTGCGGTTACACAGTCCCTCTCCCCTTGTGCTGAAAACGACCCTGCACTTGGGTTAATGCTTTGCTGTCACTGTCTTGAAATATTTAATGCTTTTTCAACAGGGGCCCCATGTTTTCATTTAACACTGGGCCTCGAAAATGATGTAGCTGATCCTGCCCAAGGAGTCCCTTGCTAGAGCTCTTCAAGCTCTCTCTCAATGTCCCTTGTCTTCCCAAGACAAGTCCAGTCTCCTCGATTGCAGGCCTCATGAGTGTGTGCCCATCATCTGCAGCCTTCTCTTCCATTCCCCTTCATCAAAACCTAAGTTCTGAACATATTCCTAATGTGGGGAGTTATGCTCTCTTTAGCTATTACACTGAAAAGAATAGGTCACAGATTAAAGTGTTGAAGGCAGAGAAGACATAAAATGTTACCCTCACCTCCCATCCCCCGGTTCAATAAACTTTAAAGAAAGATGATTATTTTAGCCAAAGACTGGCTCTCTAATAGTAGGATTTCATACATTCACTTTACATTTTAGCATCCCCCATAGATAGATATTTTGGGATGAGGCAACTTTTTTTGTCTCTCAAATTGTACTCTTAAGGAAACTGCTGACAATGTTACTCCACCTATTCACAAAACAGCTCTCCTTCATACTTAAAACTATTTTAAAAATTATAGTGTCCTGTTGTCATTGTGTGTGTGTGTGTGTGTGTGTGTGTGTTTTCTAAAGAGACAAAGTCTCACTGCTATGTTGCCCAGGCTGATCTCAAACTCCTGGACTCAAACTCTCCTCCTGCTTCAGCCTCCTGAGAAACTGGGACTAGAAGCATATACTGCCTCTCCTGGCTATGTCACTGTATTTTTTAAAAATTGGCAGAACATTGTCAAAGAGATATATGTTTATCAAGAAGTATTACACACACATAAAAAATAAAAATAAAAAAAGAAGTTTTACAATAAACGTATTCCAAGAGTCTATTTACTTTTATCTATAAGGTAGATAAAAATCAGATAAATAATTAGAGATCAAATAAATGTCCTAAGTTCCAACAGGTCCATTTTGCCACTTTCTAAGCTACATGGCCTTCGGCAAGTTACTTGATTACCTTGAATTCCTTGTTTCCTCATTAAAAACAAGAATGAGGCCAAGCAATACCTCTTTTCCTACTCTTGGGTTTATTTGGGGAGTTAAATGAGTCAGGTGCTTTGCAGAGCAGGATGGAGAGCCCATTATTAAATAAGTTTCTGTGTGTTGAATAGTGCATTCTGGAATGTCTGAAGACAAATCAAGAGCTGAAAGCAAGGATGGCTAGGGAGATCAGAATCCAGGGCAAGGTGTGATGAACTCACCAAGAAGATACGCTGCAAGAGCAGAGAGGTAGATGTTTGGGTTTGGTGAGATCAGTGTTCCCTTCACTGGCATGAGCATGAACATGGCAAATGGCAGCAGTCAGCTACAAATTGGAATTTTTTAAATAGGAAGAAGATGAAGAACTAAAACGAGAGGCATGAAGAATGGAGGAGAAAAAGAAGTAAGAAGAGGTGAGAGACAGGAGGAAAGTTTTCCATTTTGCTTCCATAATAACTAAGGGAATGCACAGCAGAAGGAAGAGACAAGAAAAGAAAACTCTATTTGAGCCTGCAAAGCAAAGTTTTAAGGAGAGGATCTGTTATATGAACAACATAAGCAGCTGCTCAGAAAGAATTTAAGTATTAATAGAAAGCATTTTGATTAATACATCAGTCAGAATGATTTTGAGATACATATTGGCAGTAATTCAAATCCAGGGGGTAGGAGGCTTATAGGCTTCACATCAGTGGAAAAGCTGGATATAATTTGATGATCCTATCAGGAGTGAAAAGAAAAGCCCTGAGAAAAGACCTTGGCAATGGAAGGCCAAGGCTAACATTTCTGACCATTGCCTAAGGAAGGAAGGAGCAGATAGCAAAGGCATTGTGATATGTTTGTTTTTTTTTTTTAATATAAATGTATTTGTGATTCCATTCAAAAGTAGAGGACAATTTGGTAGACTCAACAGGGGAATGTGACTGGGAAGTGGAAATCAAGGTGGAGATCAGGCTATGAAAGCGGGTGCAGGAGGTTGAAAATGGGAGAGTGAGTAGGCAAGAAGTAACAGTAACAAGATCCCCCAAAATGAGAAAGCCAAGCCTGTTTTTTTAGCATGTCATTTCAAATCAGATTAAGGCAGGTGTTTTTAGAGAGCAATGTGGTTTGGAGTCAGTTAGGTCCATGCACATATCTGGCATCTATGCAGGAGAGACCAAAGTCAAGGCAGGAGCAACTCTGGGCTGACAGAGTGCTGTCCCTAACCCTCTGAGTTAGGGCACCTCTTCGGGGTAATGGGTCTCCAGATCTGAAGTGAAGCAACTGGATCCTATTCCAGCTGAGGGGGACTGTAATGCTTGAAGGCAAAGGGATTTCAGGAGACTAAGACAGCAATTATGAGAGAAGGAGGAGGGATAATTGGAACTGATTATTTTATGTACAAAAAGAAAATTTTTCTGGAAGCAGTTACGATGGGGGCGTGGAAAGAGTGAAGTAGGGCGGGTGCAGAGAGGGTAAGCAAAGTAGGCTGATGTTCTACTAAATACATTACAGGTTTAATCTTATTTAAATGTGACTGCAACCCTGTGAGCTACCTATTACTATTTCCAGTTTACAGATGTATGTTTAAATTGCTTGCTATATATATTGATAATAACTGTGGTAAACTTGATTGAATGCTTATTACATGCCAGGCGCTTTACGTAGGTCATATCTTTTTAATCTTTACAACAAGAATAGGAAATATTACATTTTTCCAGATCTCCCATTTTCCAGATGAGAAAACCAAGGCATGGAGAAGCCCAGTAACTTGCCCAAGTCCACACAACCAAAAAATGGTGCTAACAGGATGCAAACTCAGGCAATTCGTTTCTGGAGTCCAGAATCTTAACCACCGTGATAAACAGCCTCTAGAGTTTGCACACTAACAGAAAGAGACAAATAAATGAGCAAAGAAACAAACATAAGGGAATAAAGACAGGGAAGATAAGCTGAGAGGCTATTATTGAAAAGAACACAAAAACGATAGGGACAGAAATGGAAAACCTAATCTGGACAGGAGATTTAAATGTTTATTTTTAAGAGATCAGAGAAGCTTTAAGGATAATTTTACTAATAATGAAGACGATGATAACAGAATGAACATTTATTGAAAGCTTACCATGTGCTAGATCCTATCCCAAGTGCTTTATATATATTATCTCATTGAATTTTCAGAGTAATCCTTTTGTCTCTTTTATTGAAATTCCAGGACTTAGCACATAGTAGATACTCAATACATATTTGTTGAACTAAGCTTGAAAAGTAACTATATAATTTTACGCTTTGGGGAACTCTAGATTATAGGACTAAAGTCCAAGGGAATCAGCTCTTGTGGCCTTCTTTGTTTTATTACTTCACAGCATTTATTTCTGTCTGAAATTATCTTGTTTGTTTCTTTGCTTGTTTATTATCTGCCTCTATTAGCATGTAAACTGTAGGAGAGCAGAAGCTTCACTCATCTTGTTTAATGCTATTCTGGCAGCGGCTAGAACAATGCCTAGGGCATAGGAGATGATTAGTTAAATGTGCCCTGTTTAAATGAAAAATGAGAACACAAGATTTCAGCCTTTCAGAATAACTCTTCTTCCACCAGAGCACATAGAATACTGAGCAGACAGACTACTGCTCATCTTTCTTGCTGTGCTCACTCTCAAGGCGTATTCATTCGCTTTCTCCATCACTGACCGTACAGTCCATTGACCCAGGTAGGTTTAGTTGTGGAGCAAGGAAGAAGAGAGCTTTCTTTCATCACAAAGGTGATCAAACTGTCTCTATTAAAAATTACTCTTCCCTCTCACATTCATAAGGATTGTTACTACCAAAAAAAGTAGAAAATAAAAAGTGTTGGTGAGAATGTGGAGAAACTAGAACCCTTGCACACTTGTTAGTGGGAATATAAAATGGTACGGCTGCCATGGAAAACACTATAGTGGTTCCTCAAAAAATTAAAAATAGAATTCAATATGATCCAGCAAACTCATTTCTTGGGCATATACCCAAAAGAATTCAAAGCAAGGTTTCAAAAAGATATTTGTACACCCATGTCCATAGAAGCATTATTCATAATAGGTAAAACATGGAAGCAACCCAGGTGTTGATTGACAGATGAATGAGCAAACAAAATATGGTATATACATTAAATGGAATACTATTCAGCCTTAAAAAAGAAGGAATTCTGACATAAGCTACAACATGGATGAACCTTGTTGTAAGTAAAATAAGTCAGTCACAGAAAGACAAATACTGTATAATTCCACTTATATGAGGTACCTAGAGTGATTAAATTCATAGAGACAGTAAGTAGAAGGATGGTTGCTAGGCACTGGGGTGAGGGAGGAATGAGTTGTTATTTAATGGGTATAGAGTTTTGCAAGCTGAAAAGAGTTCTGGAGATTGGTTGTACAACACCATGAATGTACCTAACACCACTGAACTGTACCTTTAAAAATGGTTAGGATGGTAAATTTTGTTATGTGTATTTTACCATAATTAAAAAAATAGACTACATATACATTAAAAAGAAAAACATACTCTCTTGGTAGTAAAACATATACCTCATATGAAAGGATCAAGATTCCAAATGAATGATTCAATTAGGTCAAGTGAAAATCACAATCTACATAAGGAATAGAGGTGCAAGACAAAGAAGGAACAGCTACCACCATGAACAGCCTGTGTTCGAGTTCAGGAAAGGTTAACCATAAACTTTGGTTTTTGGACTTTTGATAGTTACATATAACACTTTCTTTAATGGCTTTTAAAATATAATGTTATATTATAATTAAGCATTTTAACAAAAATCTCTGTAGAGCTTTAGGACATTGGGGCCTGTGGTGTTTATCTGATTAGATCAGGTAGTTTGAGAAGAAGCCTCTACGATACTCACCTGTCTACACGAAGCTGGCAGACAATGCTTAGCGCATCGACAACTCCTTCTTCTTTCAACTGTCGACAGCCAATGGATGTAGCAATGAAACACCCTGTTCTACCTATCCCCGCACTGAAAAAAAAAAAAAAAAGGAATAAAAAAGGTGTGGAAAAATGACAAAGATAAAATACGTTCTTTTAAAAGTGTACTTTTAAATCAGAAACAACAGTTAATATAATAACAGCTCTCATGTGTTGAGTATGACAAACCTGGCCCTGTGCTAAGTGCTTAAAATATATTCCTTCATTTGGTCATAAGTAGTAGGATGAGGGGATGGAGGGAGGTGATGGGAGGGGAGAATAGTAAAAAGGCAGTGTAATTGTTCTAGAAAAAAATAATTAGGATCTGACCTTAGGTAAGGCATGGGAAGTAGAAAGGAACGGGGAGATTTAGACACATCACAAATGTGAATCTGCAGGACTGAATGAAGAGGGAGAAAGGCAAAAAGGCAAAGAAGTGACTAGGCTTGGACGGCAGAAAGAGTGGAGGGCACCTCTGAGGCAAAGGGGAATTTTGGAATAAGATGAATTTGAAGGAGGGAGGGAGAGAGGGAGGAAGGGGACTGGCTTCAGAAATATTGACATTGAGCAGTCTTAGTTTAGGAGAGAGGATGTGACTAGAGGCACATATTTTCAAGTCATTTATATGAAGGTGATAGCTAAACAGAAATACTGTCCTGGAGGGTTTATACATTCATTTGCCTTGAATGGTATGCCCATAACATCAACCCCAAAATCTCTCTCTCTCCAAGCAATTTCAACCACTAACAGTTTTTATGTAAATTTCTCTCAAATCGACATCTACACTCCCTAAATTTCTTAAACTCTAGACCGTCATTCCACCTCCTATCTGGAACTCTAGATGTTACTCTTTTGTACTTGTTTCAGTTCATTGTATCTAAATTTGATGGATCTAAAACAGAATTAATTATCTTTTCCTTCAATGGTATTACCAGCCAGCCACAAGTTTTCCAGCCTGGAAATCTTGGAGCCATCTTTGACATCTCCCCCTCTCTCACCTCCCACATCCAATCTGTTACCACTTCTTCTATTTTCTATCTCTACTGAGCCTTTGGGACCCATGCTTTCCTTTCTGTAGACTGTACTCACGTTTTTAACATCTCCTTATTTCATGATTAGCAGTGATCTTATTATGGTTTCCAAGTTTCAAGTTTTTTCCTGGACTACTTCATGATATACCCAGCTTGCTAGGTTCACCTTTATGCAATAAGGATTTAATTATATTACTCCCTACTCAGAGCCTGTAGATGGCTCCCATCAGTTCTAGCATGATGTTGTCTACTCTTCCTACCATGGTATTCATTGCAAAATCTGAATGTGACTAACTTTCAAGCTTTCTGTCTTTTCGCTGTCTTCCCTGTATCTTATGTGCTGTTGTTCTCATTTACATGAATCGTTGCAAAAATTTTCTTTTATTTTCCAATTTTCCTTTTTGTATTAATGATATCTTCTCAGCCAGCAATGCCCTCCCCATCACCTTTTAAAACAACAAACATTAATCATATTTTAAGACCCTGTTAGACATTATTCCAATTTTTAGAGACTTTCCTCAATCCCCATGGTTAGAATTAATTAATCCCTCTTGGCACAACAATGTCATTTATTTCTCACATTTGGCACTTTTTTCCTGTTGAATGTGAGTGCAGAGGAATTCAGAGGAGGAATGAGTTTCTTTTAGTCGAAGTGTTTATAGAGAATGTGTTTCATTGAAGAACTAGAATTTGAGCTGTACCCTGTGAATGGCAGGCATTTTGGCTATCATAAATGAGAGAGGATACTCCAGGTATGGCAATGGTATGAGGAAAGAACTGATGAGGAATGGAATGTATGATCTGGGACAATAAGTTTACTAGCTCGCCTTGAAGAGAAGAGAAAGTTATTTTAGTGCAACAGTGGGAAATAAGGATGGGAAGCTACCCTGGGATCTCATAAGGAAGGTTAAGAGGTTTGCAATTCATTCTCTATGCTCTTTTGTTGTTGTTGTTAGGAATTTGATGAAAACTACAAAATTTCATTCCCCGGAAAAATTCACATAAGCTTATATACTCAAATTTGTTCAAATAATTTCAAGGAGTTCGTTGATCTCTACAGTTTATCAATAGATTGAAGGTTAAGGACTTTTGCTTTAGGCAATGTGAAGCCATTGACAAGTTTGATGGAGGTACTCCATGGGATGAAGGATGGTTTTAGGACCATCATCTAAGAGAAGTGCACAGGGTAGGCCATAGCAGCAGTGAGGGCATGAGGGAGCAGGGTATGCATGTGCAATTAGCCAACTACTTCTAAAATACATGGATGAGGTCATAAGGGCCTGAACTATGGTGGTTGGACAGGAAGTGGTGATTATGGGAGAAGCTTTGAAGGGAAAGCCAATCTGGTGACTGATTAGATACTGAGGGTAGAGTTGAAAGAAGGGCCAAAGATAACTGTCAACATTAGATCCTGAGTGGAAAAAAGATGGTCTCATTCTTAGGAATAGTAAGCAGAAGGGGAGCTGGTTTTATAGGGGCAGTGGCTAGTTCATTTTAGATATCCCAAAGGTTTAATGATTTTGGGTGGGGGACACCACTTCCAGCCCTAAAGTACAGCCAATTAGGTTGTTTTTCTTTGGATACAAGCTAAGTTTAGGATAAGACTAATGCTATCCACCTTTGGATAAATAGACATACAGCAAATTTGACCATTGGTTATTATTATTATTATTATTATTATTTTGAGACAGAGTCTCACCCTGTTGCCCAGACTAGAGTGCCATGGCATCAGCCTAGCTCATAGCAACCTCAAATTCCTGGGGTCAAGCAATCCTCCTGCCTCAGCCTCCCAAGTAGCTGGTACTATAGGCACATGACACCATGCCCAGCTAATTTACTTTTATTTTTAGTAGAGATGGGGTCTCATTCTTGGTGAGGCTGATCTTGAACCCCTGACCTCAAGCGATCCTCCCACCTCGGCTTCCCAGAGTGCTAGGATTACAGGCATGAGCCACCATGCCCAGCCTTTGACTCTTGATTAAACCACAAAGTTTCAAAAAAGGAGGAGGTTAAATTTATACTCTAAAATTATATCATTTATTAATTAAAGCTGTTATAAAAAGCTATCTTAAGAGAATTATGAGGTTAAACAAAGCAAGAAAAATAATTTTGAGAATGTATGAAGAATAAATGGTTAGTCATCTAAATGACTTTAAAGATGTTTGCTTTATTTTGGTCACACTAAAAGGAAAACAAGGGGAAGGAGATATCGGTTATAGGAGAGAGGTTTGAGCTAGACCTTAGGGAAAGGAGCCCCCACAGACACCTGTCACTGTTGTTGGCCTGGCTGCCAGCACCCATGTCCTGGGGATAACACTTTGTTTTCCTTTGGTCAAGTACTACCTGCCCACTTCTCAGTTCCTAAATTGGTTTCCGCTTGTTTTTCATGAAATAATTCTTAAAATAGTTGACTGTTTTTTTTTTTTTAGCACATTGAAATAATAATAAATGTTATCAAGATACAATCCAAATAGTGCTCAGGGGCCATCTTGAAACAACAAAAGAGTCATCAGTAATTTCAAAAAAAAAGAAAACACATCTGTAATTCCTACTGTATATGAGACTGGTAAGATTAAATGAATCAATGTAAGTTTCAAGGGAGATGACTAAAATAAGGTCTCCTGTTCAATGAGCCTCTTATTTAGAACTTACATTTTGTCTACTGTGTAATTGTCATTTGCCAAAAATGCCTTAAAAGTGTTACTTCATTCCTGTATGCATCATCTGTTTTGGTTTTGTTTTTAAAACATGGAGTCTCTCTCTGGCTCCCTGGCTAAAGTGCAGTCTGATCACAGCTCACTGCAGCCTCAAACTCCCAGGCTCAGGCAATCCTCCGGCCTCAGCTTTCTGAGTAATCAGAACTACAGGTGTGTCATCTTGATTAAGACTCAAATATTAGAAAGTTAGCCAATTTCAATAAATATTTAATTTACCAACAAAGTCATTCTCAGGAGGCGAAACACTACTTCTACCTGCTCTATGACTTTACAAAGAATGGACAGTTGCTCAGGCAGAAAGAACAGTTCTTGTCTTACCTGCAGTGGACAACCACAGGCCCTCGGCCCTCAGAAGCAAGTCTGTCTTCTTCTACATCCAGCATGAGCTGTAGGAGGGGCTGGGCACTGTCTGGAGTCTTGTGATCGGGCCATGAGGTGTACCAGTAATGCTTCACATGTTGGGTGTGACTTCCTTGCTGAAAATAGCAACAGCCACCAAATGCCTCATTCCCTTGTGAGCTAAAAGTCATCCAAACCACAATACTGAATGCCTTCTATCACTCCCATCCATCTTGCTGGCAACTTACTTCTGGGTGGAAAAATCTAGATTTTTAAATAATACTCTTTCTTTCTTTCCTTTTTTTTTTTTTAGATATGGTGTCTTGCTCTGTCACCCAGGGTGGAGTACAGCGGTACAATCATAGTTCACTGCAGCCTCAAACTCCTGGGCTCAAGTAATCCTCCTGCCTCAGCCTCCTGTGTAGATGGGATTACAGGCTTGAACAACCATACATTGATAATTTTTTTCCCTTTTTTTTTTAGAGATGAGGTCTTGCTATGTCGACCAGGCTGATCTTGAACTCTTGGCCTTAAGCCCTCCTCCCACCTATATTCCCTTATACCTATATTCCCAAGTAGCTGGGAATATAGGTGTGAACCACGGTGCCCAGCTCCCCAGCTCTGAAGAACCCTTTCACCTTGAGAATACTTAACTGTCAATATCCTCATCTCAAAGTTTGACAGTCTTGTCCCTGTTAAGTGAGATCTACCCTATATTTATAATGTAGACACTGTATGTAACATATGCTAAATATATGTTTCTAATTTGTTACAATAAGCAAAATGGTAGTAAAAAATGTAGCCAAGAAAGAATGTGATATATTACGTTTCCTGCTCTGTGAACATTCCTGACAGGTTTTTGTAAACATATAAATCGAGAGAACACTGAATTTCATGTCAGTCCTGCTAATACTTCTACACTCATCCCAGATTCCCGCGTTTAACAGCAGTGAGGAATCCCAGCAGGAAAGGATTGACATGGGGTCCCTGGATTGGAGACACTTTGAGTGAGGGTCTGTGCACATCACTGCCCAGGTGGGGGCCCCGACATGGAGACATGGACCGGGCACTCAAGGACATCTATTGACAAACGAGTGTTGGTAAGTGCTTTCCTGTCCCAAACTTCCAAATAAAAACCCTCCCTCCATTCTCTTCCTCTTTGTGACGATTCTGTCCCAGAAGTGAGGCTGCAGATCAGATTGCAATCTTCAGACGATTATTCTCCAAAGGCAAAAAATAATACCATGGCAACATTCCTCAGCATCTGCTGCCCATGAGTTAAATAAGATAATTTTTCTATGACATAATCTGGTCTGGGGAAAGTCCCTATAAATTACTGTAACTCCCCATTTCTGAAGATCTCATCAACACCTCAGCTCATCTTGCCTCCCACAGCCACCCACGAGTGCAGATTTTCTCTTTCACAGCTTCCAGGCCTTACTTAAAGCTGCCTAGACCAAAACGACTTAAAAAAAATCATGGTAAACTCTCCGGCACAGTCTTGAGTTAAAGGCTTTCAAAAGTTATTATTAAATCAAAGATGTTTTGTTAATGCAAATAAGATCGCAACATCCTATGTAATGAATTTTCTTAGTATCTACTTACATTAATTTAATTATTCCATATACTAATAATAGCTGACAACAAAGAAATACATGAGGGAATGACTATAGTTTCTCTTAGATCTTATTATTCTTTAATTTGCTTAAATTGAATTCATAGTGCTTATTAGGAAAAATAATTGCAAAGCAGAAATGTAACCTTCTAACATCATCTGCTCTGTAAATGGCTCTAGCTGCATAATCTTACCTTTAAGACGAGGTTTCGAATGGTGTAGTTATCACATTCATTTACACTGATAACCAGAACTTCAACTTTCCCATATATCCCTCTCTTTTCTGGCCAGTACAACACACATTTCTGGGGAAGAGGAAAGAAGAAAACAGTGTATATTAATGGCTTTTCTTAGCTTTGGAGTACTTTTCATTTAAGTGTCTCAAGAGGTTTTATACCCTTATTTTCGAAAAATCAAATATCAATTTTTATAATTCTATAAATGTATTAAAACTATTGAATTGTATGTTTTTGTTTTTGTTTTGAGACAGAATCTTGCTCTGTTGTCTAGGCTGGAGTGCAGTGGCGTCATCATAGCTCACTGCAACTTCAAACTCTTGGGCTCAAGCGATCCTCCTGCCTCAGCCTCCCGAGTAGTTGGGACTACACCACTGCACTCAGCTAATTTTTCTATTTTTGGGGTCTCGCTCTTGTTTAGACTGGTCTCTAACTCCTGACCTCAAGTGATCCTCCCACCTTAGTCTCTCAAAGTGCTAGGATCACAGACATGAGCCACCATGCCCAGCCTGTATGTTTTAAACAGATTAATTTTATAATATGTAAATTATATTTTAATGAAGTCATTTTTTAAGAAAAAAAATCTCAATTTTTACATGTGCCTGTCAAACACTGTCATTCCTAATCTCATACCAGTAATAATAATAATTAGGCAAAATTTCCCAAAGCTCCGTAGAAAAATAAAGAACTAAATTAAGAATTAAGAAATTAATATCCACACTTGTAGCTCTGATTCGGGCAGGACAAAGGCAATATATGTAACCTAAAAATTTGTACCCCTGTAATATTCTGAAATTAAAAAAAAAGAAATTAATATCCAAATATTAGGGTTTGGCATGTGTTGACTAGAAATAAAAGGAATGTTCTGTCAGGATGTTGAAGAAAGTCACACTTTCCTGCTTCCTCAAACCAATGTGTCTAATAAGAAATGCTGTAATATGTTAGACTTCATAGACAGTTTCCCTTGTATATAAGGCAGATGTAATGACTATTAATACATCTATGGTGTTTTATTTTCCAGGATCAATTTTTTTTCACTTATGAGATCCATTGAAATAAATGTACAATACAATTATGTAAAAATATTTTATAATATAAGCTTTGAAGAGCTTAATAAGAGTGAAAATAATTTTATTACAAGCAAGGCAATATAGTATTGGTTAAGGGACAAGCTTTGGGTTCAGACAGCTTGGGTGCAAATTTTGGTTCACTACTTATTAGCTGTGAGTCCATGAGCAAGATACTTAACATCTCCGGCCTCAATTTACTTGTGATTTAATACATGGAAAGTACTTAGGATAAAGCCAGGCATACAGTAAGCACTTAAAACATGTTATTATGGTTGTTGGTATTTTAAAATTACTGGATGATACATTTTTGCTCCAAAGTGATTAGATTTTCATGCATCAAATATTATTTTACTATTATTATTATTATATCCAGGCACCATTATTAAAAGAAAACTACAAGATGAGATCTAAGCATGCATCTAAGCTCATTTTTTTTTGCCTTTTAAACAACTATAAAAGAACTATTAATTTTTTATCACATATTTTAATAATAAAGAATGAAAGCTGATGTTTTATTTCAAGTGCCCCCAGAAGCAATGTAAATTTTAGAAACGTTGTTTAAATAACACTTATCATTTTCTCCCCCACGCCCCACATATGTATTCAGAAATCCTTTCACTTGTTGCTGTCAGTCAGGATCTTTGAATATCCAGGACACATGTTTCTTCACATTTACGTCAAAGGCATTTGAAAAAAATTTAAATACTTATAGATTTGAAAGAGTAGCAAAAAAACCAGAGAATTACAGAACTAAAGGAAAAGGCATGTAGGATATCAGAGACACACCTCCAGGGCTCTATCGTACTAACTACCAACTGTTTCACATGCTGGAGCAGTGAAAGAAGTCACTTCACCTAGTGGAATCAGTTTCTTTCATCCATTACAATAAAAATACATTCATACTGTCCACCTTTTGATTGTTTTCTAAAAGAAGTAAATTGTTTCAGCTTTATTTACATACCACTGCAACTCTGTCAGGCAATCAGACTAAAGGCTTGCTCTGGCTGACTTAATGTTAACATTCAGAAAAGAAACATTTAAAAAACAGAACAACTTATTTCCCTCTGCATCTACCAGTTGCCAGATGTCTAAAACTTTCCCAGTTTGTTAAAGGTAAGCACACTAACCAATTTGCCTGGTTTCTTTCAATGGAGCATCAATTATTTCTCTGCAAGACCCAAGCTATTGTATATCATAAAACACATGCCTCCCGATGAATCCAAGAAGAGTGACAAAGAATCTTAAAAAAGGTATTGAACAAAGAAAGAGGCATTCAGTGGTCCAGCAGTCTGACATACGTGCCCCATTGTCCGCGATCAGACCTGAGTGGCGGGCCCCTGTTTAGGAAGGTGGCTCTCGAACCGGTAGGAAAAGCTGCAAGACAGGAGCTCGCTGCCTGCACCCTGCCTCTTAATACACGAGCAGGCTTCTGCACCTACTTGATAAATGGAAGCTCTGCTCGCTTCTCTCCCAAGCTTGCTGGGGCCCTCCTGAATGTTTTTCTTGACTCTTTACCAAAAAAGCAATTGGCAGCCGGCTCCCAGTAGACAATGCAATGTGACTTGTTCATTCAAACAACCCTTAATTAGCATCCCATCTCTTTTCTGAGACACAATAGCTTATTTTTACATGCTGAATACATCTCTTTCCCTTTTAAAAGAAAGTAGAAAAAGAGACCAGATAAGTGTGGGTGCTTTTGAATGTGAGGTGGGGGAGAGCTGCAAATGTAGTTGTTTCTAAGAGCCCAAGTTCCTGTTCAAATTATTTGCCTGAACAGCTTTTCAGGGTTTCTTTATTGTGGTGCTAACAATGATATGAAAGAGGCAGAAAATGCAAGAAAGAAAAATGCTGTCTTACAGATAATATTGTGAAATCACACTAATTGTAGGTAATTCAAAATAGCATGCTTTCCAGCAGAATATAACCCCAAATCATCACTATTATTTTGCTAACCGGGCTGATCCTTTCTGTAAAATTATCTATTAATTCCAAGAATCCATAATTTGGAGGAAAAAGAGGTTTTCAGAAGACTGTGTCTCTTGTGCAAATAAGTAATTATTGAAAACTGCTTGAAAAGATTCTGGGCATTAACCAATTCGTTGTAATCAATGGTTTCTAGCAAAAGCAGAATGCAACACAAAGTAATGAAAGCTCATATTTTTATAATTTTTTTTTTTTTTTACTTTCTTCTGGTCCCCACCAAGTAAGAATTATTTGTGTTTAAAGAAGAAGGAGGTCTAGAGAGTAGTTGAGTTGCCTAGAAAAAAAAACTATTTTTAAGCTATTTTCCTTTTAGATTTTATATATTTAAAATCAGAGATATTGTTCTACAAGCTTAAAGACTTGTATCAACATATAAAAAGTGGCTCTAAATAAATAAAATGAAGATGCTCAGCTTCATTTAGGTTACACTAATATATAAGAGAGGGATAGAATGAGTCTAATAAAACCATTATTATTGTAGTTACTCTTATTCCGAGGGTCCAACTGAGTATTACTAACATAGGCATAGTGATTTAATATTAAAAGTACCTTCGCCAACATTATGTCATTTGATCTATTCCACAGTACTTTGAGTTAGGTGGGTAGTAGTTATTATTTTTTAAAATAATTTTACAGCTGAGGAAACTGACGCTCAGGTGTTTTGGTAGGGGTCTTTGGGAAAATTCCCTTGGGGGCTAGGATCCTTCAAGAAAATATCACTTTATGAATTCAACTTTCCATCTTTGATTTCCACACTGACTCTTAATTAACCTACCTAACCACAGCGTTAACCAACGACCTCCCTTCCTTCTGTAAAATAAGTTGATGCACATAGAACCCTGCATGAGTGTGAAAAGAACAAACAAGTTATTTTATGAGATAATAACATAAGTTGAATGAGTTTTTCATTGGAATAACAAGTGAACCAGTAAAGAAAACTCCAGTCAAGTCAGGTACAGGTGAGACAACTATAAAAGTGTGTGTAAAGTTTAAAGATCTAAATAGGAATCTACATGTGTGCTGTTTTATAAGCCTTACTATGTTCTCTCTCACTTAAACTGAAATGGGAAATTATGATATATAAAGGGTATGATTTGCATAAGCTATATAATCTAGAACTGTAGCTTCATACCAACACTCAAAAAACACTCAACACTTAGCCCCATAATAAAAAAAATGAACACATTTTAATATGAACAAATGTAAATGTTTTAAGATAAAATAAAAGATTTTTAAAATAATTCCTTACACTGACTATTTTTTTAATTCACTGTGTCAAATAGGAGGTCTCTTAACTATAGTTGTAAATAAAGCAGGCTAAAGCAATTTCAATATAACTAGCAGATTAAAAATTAAGGTAGAGAGTTATATGTGGAATGTCAGTATGTTTAAAAGAACAGGTAAGTAATTTTGCTTGAGTGTTGTCAGCCTCTGAATTTCTGGTTGCCTTTAATTGCCTTTAATTGCTTGGACAGCATAATCATCAAAACCGTACACAAAACAAAATTTGGCTGCCTGGCACTGCTGTGCAAGGGTAGGCCAGGTTGCCCCCAACCCACACGAGGGGCCATATGTCAGAGGCTGGGTGTCCTTGCTGATGCTTTGTGGTGGCTTTGGTCTCTTTGCTGTTGAATGGATTCTTGTTTTGTAAGCAAAATCCTACATCGGATCCCAATAATTCTGGTCCTCAAGGAAATCTGAATACCTGTCAGTGGGTCTCCCCTGTCTGCATGCCAGGTTGGCCTCCAACATTACCCTCCCTGACCTTTGTTTGGACACTCTAGTTATGGGACTTGGTTTGCTTGTTTCTTTTCATGAATACAAAGAATCCTCTTGTCTACCTGACACCGACCTCCAGATTGAGTGTGACTTCCTCATCATAGTCCTGATCCACTCTTCAAATTGTCCACTACCTTGAGTGAGCAGTGAAATGAATCAACATGTTTTTGTTGATTCGGATCAAAATGCCTTGCCTATCTCCTGTTTCTTTCCTAAAGAGAACACTTAAAAGATTTT